TTGGAGGAAAATCTAGGCTAGAATGAAAGTGAATTCAGGGAAAGTACCGTAGCAAACATCCAGCAATTGCAAGGCAAGTGTGGAAAACTGTGAAAGTAGCATGGAAGACAATCAATCATGCAGAAGCCCGGGATTGCTACTGCTCTGAGCCTAACTTCATCGCTATTGCAGGAAACTACTTCTTCGCCTTTTGCCCAGCTGATCGTCACACTTGCCCCCGCAGTTCAGCAGCGCGCCGAACGAGAACAAGCTCGCAAGCGTCGCAACACTGGAGAATGCCACAGCGGCACCAACCTAAGCTTTTCCAGAAAACACCCCTACACGAGACATTTGAAAGCACTTTCAACCTTGATTGAGAGTGCCACCAGAGCCCGCGTCGCTTGAATGCCGGAACAAGCCTCCTTTTTTTTCACCACACCACAGGGACAATGGAAAAGAAAATGGAAACGACTATATTCTAATAGGGAATATATAGGGGTTACATAGGGATAATGGATACGAAGCTGTACTATATTGTAATGCCAGAACAGCTAGTTTGTTGATCAACAACATGAGGCACATGGCAACACGTCAAAATAACCAGTGAAGAGACTCGCTGGAAGCTAGGAATCCAATGTCACCCTCTGCGCGGTCCTGGATCGTCACTACTGATTCCGATCCGCCACAAAGGGTGGTCGCATTCCTGGGTTGCTGGTAAGGGACTTAATTTAAGTTACCATAACGGGTATATATAGTAAATAAAAGGGTTTCCCCAATATAGTAACTTAATTTGAGTTCCTTAAATCCCTACATTGCCCCAGTTTCCATTTCATTTTCCATTTTCTTTTCCATTTGATTCTCCATTATAGGGGGATAATATAGTAACTTAATTTAGGTTCCTTAACAGCAACCCAGATTCAGGTAGACGGGCTTTGAGGTGAAAGTAGCACCCAGGATGTCAGAGTGCGCCACGAACGTCCAAAGGCCCAGGTCGCCTGGCAAGTTAGCATTCTTCCTGCCACTATGATCATTACTATTAGTATTAGAATTACTAGTACGACTATTACTTTTACTCCTAAATAAATCCTACTATCTGTACCAGTATTCGTCTTACTAGTACTACTGTGCATGTCACTGCTCAATATATGGTAGTTTCCCAAAAAGAAGGGGACCCCAATATAGACCCTAATATACTATAGTCCTTACTATGGGGACCCCAAAGGGTACCCTTAAATTTGGGAAACCCCCATATGAATACTAGCCAGAGTCCTGCCCAGCTGCCTCGGACTGAGGCAAGGCCCGAGGAGCTGCCCAAGGCACCCTCCCACCACACGGCTTCCAAGGCAACCTCCAGGAGATCCTAAAACCCCTTAAACCGCTACACCCAATACCCCTAAAACCCTTAAAACCCCTAAAAACCCTAAAACCCCTAAACCCCTAAAACCCCTAAACCCGAAAAACCCCTAAACCCCTAAAACCCTAAAACCCCTAAACCCTCAAAGGGGATACTTGACAGTTTGCTGGCTATAGCTGGCTGCCAAGGTGCTATAGAAAAAGCTGCGCCCATGACCAGAAAGATCACCGCCAGCAAGGCCTTGGCATCATGTCAGTCCAGACCAAATGCCCCTGCACAGAAGCCCCGTCACTCAGCAGCACTCGTGTCTGCAAGTGACCAAACCCCTCGGAGATATTCAATGGGCACTACTTCATAGAGAACAACCCTATATATCCCGAAACCCTAAACCCTATATATCCCTTTAAAGGGACCCAATTATTCGGTACATGGACCCTCAGGATATCAAGAGTGCCAAGCCCTTACTTCGGACAACCTCTCCAATCAAGATGCCATCGCTGCGTCACGGATTGGTGTCTTGAGGGGCGTCAACGTCATGGCAATGCGGCTCCCGAGCTTCAACAGGTTTTCTTACCCTCCCAATGCTTGAGCCCCTGCTACAGTCACAGCAGGCATGGGAACAACAGCGACAGCCACCGCTACAGTACCGGCTCAATTGACAAGATGCGCACAACTTCCCTTCTTCTTTTTGCACCCTCGCAGTGACCAGCACGGGCACCGGGTGCAGAGTATTTGCACCGGCACTTCATCCAGCCTCAGAATTGCAGGGAATCTTTCGTGTTCATTCTGTCCTGAACCTCCTCGGGGTAAAGCCGGCTCCATGGGTGCTTCATGGCTTGGATTCGCCGCTGCCTGCGCTGAACAGCTCAACGCAGCTGCGCAGCAACATGTGGTCATGCTGCATGCATTGAACCTCGGGCATGTCTGCCACGCCTGGGGCTGCTATCCTGGCAACCATGAAATCGTCAGGATATGTCACGTGAAGCTGCACTGACTTTTTGTGCTGCAAGGCTCTTCAGTGTGTGTGCTGGTGTTTGCAAGAGTCCCTATGCTTCACAGCTCTTACATCAGCTGACGACTGAGGCTTCACTGAACCACCAGCAGAACCTCTTTGTTGACTCCAGCTTGCATTGCCAGCCAGGCTCTGCAACTGCCTTGCTGGTGGTCTGTGCATCTGGATTCTGCCAGAAGGCAAGGTCAGACTGGACTGTACAACAGTGAAGACCTTGCAAGAGCACCAAGGCCTGGCCCCGCCCCTACATGGATGATTTTTAATCACTCAAGCGCCAGCGCCAGCAATGCGACGCAGGGCGGCAGTTTCAGTGGCACTTCGGAGCTGCTCCCGGGGGGGAAGGTCGAAAACAATGGGTCGCTGGGTAGGATTGTACTCGGAGGTGCAGGTCGAAGCATTCACAAACAACGTAACCTCGTCAGTGGTGGTCCCATGATCCTCGTGAAGGTGGCCAGCCACCACCACTGAGATAGTCCGTCTTTGCACCTCCTCTTTTTTGGGGGGACTATCTAGTGATGATTATATAGGGATGCTACATGTGTATATATATATATACGTACAAATGTTTATATTTATATGTATATACATATACATAAGTAGATATGCATATACATATGTTTGTGGACGGGTTGAGGGGTTAATCGAAAAGAAAATGGAAACTTCAAGCTGGTCTTTCAGATGAGAGGGGCCGTGGTAGGAGCTGACACGGATCCCTCTAAACCACAACCCTTTGGGTTGTTCTGAGAATTATGGGCCCCTTTTGCTTCTAGATTATCGTGCGGCTCCTGATATTCAGCGGTACCAAAACGGGGACCATCCTAACCCTGATACCCGTACCCTTATTTTGCCCCGAGCTCTGAACGCTGAACTTTGAACCCTATACCCTAAACCTCACTTTCAAACCCTACCCCTGAACCCTGAACCCTAGACTTAAACCCTGAACCCTTACTGTAAACTAACTCCCCACTCCTCCAGGAGGTCCTGGCAGCCGACCCTGCCATGGCGACAACGATCCCCATGACCCGCAGGCGGTCCATGCACCAGGAGGATGTCTGTTTCCTTATAGTCCCCCTTAAGTGGGTAAAATGTGGGGCATATGGGATCTTTTTATGATATTCGGCACTGCCATGTTCAATCTACTTAAGGGGGGCTCTACCCATGGATTATGCAGGGATGATACGGCAGTTTCCCTAAATAGGAAGAACCCATCACACACACCAAAATCCTATAATTCTTGTTATAAGCATCACCAAAAAGCAGTACCCCTCATTTTGGGAAACCCTGCATAGGGGTATTTATGGGATTTACGGGGAGTAGTAAGAATATATAAGGCCTAAATATGGTTCGCCAGGGGTATACAGGGTTATATAGGGTTGTGACGGACACATGGTCAAGAAAATGGAGACGATCAAACGAAGAAAAAAGATTTTGGGTTTGCAGTGTCTCTTTGGGAATGGACGCACGGATCCCGTAGTATTATTGAATGAGATATTCCCCATTCAACCTTTTCTCATTTCCCATATCCAATTCATCCCAATCTTCCATTTCCAATTACACGTAAACCCTAAACCCTTTTTGCAGTGTGTCTTGAGTACCAGGCCAACTTGCCCGCCTGGACCCTGAACCCTTAACCCCTAAACCCTGAACATGATCAAGTGTCACCTGGGATGGCCTCCCATTTCTCGCGAATCTCTTTTCCCCTGGGCAAGTTAAAGGCCCAGTCACAGAAGTCTGGTTGCCATGGTGTGCCGTAGATCTTGTAGCCACATATCTCCACAGAAGCATCCTCTAAGTATGTGAAGCCAGTGAGGACCTGACGTACCTTGCTGCAGTCATATGCGCCTCGTTGATGAAATCGTGCAGCGCCACGAGACTTGTAGTAGTCTTCATGGAGCGTAATGTCGTGATTTCCGGCAATGACTACCTTGTCCCTGGCAGGGTATGCTCCCACCCAATCGGCGAAGCTACTCACTTGCTCCATCTCGCCTGTGTTTGTGAAGTCACCTGCAGATTGTGGGACTTCGGAGGAGGCATTCAAGAACATCCATGGCCCGTTACTTGCTCATTCTATCTGCTTGCTCATGCCTGGTACACTGGAAGGATTCGTGCAAAGGCCTTTTCAACTAGACTGAGCCTGCATGTAGGAGCACATCAGCGGCTGGCTTGTGCTGACGAGGGATCAGGTCGTGTAGGCCATGAGTGTCACCTCAGTCCAACAAAGTCCAGACAAGGATATTCTTTCTGAGCTGGTTGTTTCTTGGCGCTGTAGGATCAAGTGCGCTTAATCGTCCCCTGCTTCTGTCTGCTTGCTACGTAGGGTAGCAATGTGTAGCCAGGGTACTGAAGCAAACGAACCTAGTGTGACCCTCAGCTTTAGGTGTTGTCCATGGAAAGGGAACAACGCAAGCACCGGCAGGGGCCCAGCGCAGATCGTCTGCAAGCACAAGGTCCTGACATCAAGAAGCCACTGCTGTGGAAATACAAAGTTTTGCAAAACGAAGCAGGCAAGCGCTTTCATGAGCTTATTAGCATCTATGGCTTTTGATCCTTTGCAGCCCATCCTCGGGTTTGAAATCACCCTCGGCACCATCGTCATCAAACTCCACGTTCCAAGTGCCGTCTTCGTTGTCCAAAGCCACCACCCCGTGACCGCGCCCACGCTTGAACACTCGTGCTCCCACCTCGAGGACACGCCGGCACGCACGTGCTCCTGCCTCCATTGCGAGTCTGGACCGCTTTGCTCACGACCTCTCAGCTGTTGAGCCATGGTGCAAACACCCGAGGAAGTGCCGTGGACTGGGATTTGGATGTTTTGGCAACTTGCAAGGTGGGTGTCTGCTAAACAAAGTTAGTGCGCATCAGCAGCCCCGTAAGACAGGCGTCAGAGCACAAGGAGACACCTCAGGCAGTACATTCCTGCATGTCGACCATTCCTGACTGAGCAGAATCGCCCCTTGTGCACAGGAACCTCTGCAGCATGTCTCTGGAACTGGCAAGCTCTTAATGGCCTGCACTGTCATTAAGCATTGCATACTGTAACTTCTGGGTCTGTTCACTTGGAGATTTTCAAAAGATCTGCAAAGTCTCATGGGCTTGCAGAGCTCACCGAAGCAATTGGGTATCTTGAGGAAACGGGACGCACCAGTGTCCTGCATCAGCATGCCATGGTACTTGGTCATGTGCAACTGTTAGCAGCATGCACGGCAAGCTCCTTCTCAATCACGTTCTCCATGGCTCCAGACTTGGGGACCTGCATCTTTCCAGCCAACATCTTCTGCAGCCAGAGCGCTTGCGCAGGGCGTGGGTCAAGAAGTTTTTGAAGGTGGCAACTTCGCAGCCCATGAAGGCCACATCTGACGCCTGTGGTGGGATGATGTTGTTGTACAGGACAAGCCCGTCCTTTTGGATGTTGAGCTTTTCCTGGATTACCTTGTCGAAGATGTCGTAGTTCTTGGTAAAACCTGTCCCGTAGATCACGATGTCGGCTTCCAGCTCCTTGCCATCAGTCAGGATGACCCCGGTCTCAGTGAATTTGTCAATAGATCCTGCGACGGGCTGAATCTTCCCGGCTGCCAGCATGTCGCGGAATTCGTAATCCAAAATCTGCCCACCGATGAAAAGATCGACGTCAATGCCCTCGTCTGGAGTCATGTCCTTGAGGATCTTGAACTGGCTGTGGAACATCGTCTCCGCATCCGATCTAGCTCCGATTCACGCACATAAGTCGAGGAGGCGGCTCCAGACTGCTCCTCAGTGACGAAGGCTATTGAAGTGGTAGAGTTCCGACAGATTGGGCACTTTGGGTCGTCAGATGCTTGTATGTCCGCAGCGCACTCCTTGCAAAGAGGAGTTGCTTGAAAAAGCTAAGCAGGGTTTTCATAAATACACAGCCACCAGGCCTCACAAAGACACAAGTGACGGCAGGGCTGGCACAGCATCCGGCGCGGCCCATCCAGGCAGACTACACAAGGCTGTGGTGGCCGAGCTTGTGCTCCGGAGCTTGATGAAGAAGATCTTGAGAGAAGCAGCTTCTCACAAAGCGCGCCACAGCAGTGAGAAGCAAAGAACATGTCCATTCCAGCTTGGCCTAGGTCAGCAAGTCCGAACTCCTTCTTCAAACTGTGGATCTGCGGATCTGTCCATGTTGTCCCAACACCTTGAATGTCAACGCAGAGCTCGCACCCTCCGGAATGTTGAAAAGTGAAGTGGCTAAACGCAGCTGCAACCTTGCGGGGACTCCAAACTTTCACTGCCCATGTGAGAACACCGTGAATACAGGCTATGTCTGTGTGCCAGATGCATTTTTGTAGCCTGGCCTGTGCAGCCTCTCCATCGTAAAAGGCATGGACATAACCATCATTGCCATTGAGCTTGACGTAGGCACCCGGGATGTACTTCTCTGCTGTGACATAGCGGACTCCAGAAGTTTCAGACTCATCGCTGATCTTGACGACAAAAGCCGGCACAAACTCAACTTTAGGTGTTTCCCTATCCTGGACGGCGGCATTGAATGCTTTGGCGAACTCCTGTGCACGCCGGTGGTTCTGCAAGAAGAATTTGTGCAAGTCCTTTGGGGACCTGACGTGCATGCTACAAATCTGCATGAACCAGCCTATACACATTGCTCCAAAGCTAAGTCTCACCCAAGAGAAAGGAGAGCAAGATCAAATGCTTCCAGCCTGTCTTTGACAGAGTACTTGCTCTCCTTTACGACCAGATGAAACCTTGATCCGGAGACCACGTCATCAGAATAACCGTGGGCACTACGAGCATGAAACGCATATCCTTACCTGTGCACTCACACGCATATCTAGCAAGCCAGGTAGGTACTCGTCAGGTCTGACAAGGAACCACACCTAAAGACCAGAGACATCGCAGGAACTCAAGCCCAGTTTCGTAAAGCTCCTTCAGCGAATGGCTTGTGATGCAAATACCTCAGCAGAATATCCACAATCAGCGGCTTCTGCCGATCTAAACCACTCCTGTATCAAGCGTTAGAAGCCCTCCACGTTAAAGCACCATGCAAGGAGGAAGTCCTGCAGAGCCACATCAGCCGCGCTTTTTCGCGCACCGTCAGCTCACTACCGACCTCTGCCATCAGCCAGGTCCAGCCTGAGGCTACTGTACCCCAAAGAGGCTCGGGTGTGGGTTGCCAACATGTAGGCTTTTTACTAGCATTTAGGGCTTTGCCAGTTGCATTCGATTCAGGGTCTAGGACTTAGGGTTGCCTGTAGGGTTTGGGACGCTTTTCTGGGCGCTACGGCAGGATTGCGCAAGGGCTGCCTAGGGGATGTCTCAAGGTCATCGTTCTCGCATCAGGTATCGCTTCTGGCTAGAGTCTGCGCAATAAAACACCCTACTATAAACGACCAGTCAGACTATTTGATCAAAACCCAGGGCTTTGAAGGTTAGTTGCTCCATTCTGCTTCTTCTTGCTATGAGCCCCTCGCGCCCTTAAAGGTGCTCACACAGCTTCAAGTCAAGCCCATCTGCCGGCAGTGGGACACCAAGAGAACAGAGGCATCTGTCAAAGCTACCTTTTTGAACCCAGACTCGTGAAACCCTAAACCCCGCACATACAATCCCAACATACTTTGGTAGCTTCCATTTTCTCCCATTATCGCCATATAACCCGAAACCCTAAATAGGAGTGGCTTCCATGTTCTTTTCCATTATCCTTATATGATGCCTACTATACTATTGTCAAAGGATTCCCGTTTGTAGCGAGCCCCGAAGGCTTCGCAACCAGGTCAAGTGGCAGGGTCGCGCGAGTTGTCGCAGCTCTGAGGGATTCCTGCGCCAGGCATCTGGTGGCTCCAAGTCCTCCCAGCAGATTCCTCCACCTTCGCACGGCTTCATGCTTCAAGATACTCACGCACCTGTCCTTCACGGGCATGGGAGTCATGGCTTCGTCACCGAAGCTGATCAGAGAGCCATGCAACGTGGACACCTTGCTGTTTGCCAGTACGACAGTACGATGCTTGCTGTGTGTCAGGCCTGGTCAGGCTTGAGTACTGCACCCTGCTTAGGCCATCACCGACGTAGCGATCTGCCCGAAAATAGACTGCAACTTGTTGCTATCGATGGCTTCGCTGTTGTGGAAGGTGCCGCCACCTATCCGTGCTAGGTTTCGAAGACATTGCATCTCGAAGTCCCCGAAGCCCACCGTGTGCAACACGCACATGTTGCCAAAGTCACGTCGCATGTCACTCATCAACTCTTCTATGCAAGACGGTGGCCGGTGTTCCCAAATAACTTCTGTCGGCTCGCCATCGCTTAGAAGAACACCCACGGTCATGCCGACAGTTACAAGGCTCCGAAAACCTGCCAGTGCCTGCAAGTATCGCCCTGTGCCCTTTGGTCGAGTAGCTTTGCATACCTCCTTCACCATCAGTTTCAGATGCTCGTTCACTTCCCGCCTGGCAACAGCACCAGCTGGGCAAAGACTCGGCGCACGCTGCATAATTGGCACAACAAGCTGGCAAGCCACCGGCCTTTCAAAACACACAATGTAGGTATCGTCAAACGTCACCAGCGAACAGACAATGCCATCCGTGCCCATCAACGCGTGCACCATCTTCATGACGGCATCAAACACCATCTTTATTCGGTTCTCGCACTCCATGCTACCGGAGTTGTCGACGAGGAAGACGATGTGCGTTGATGTACTCGTGTGCCTGGCCTGAGGGACGGACTTCAGCCCGAATCACGCATCAGCTGCAAATGTTGTGGACAAGGATTGTAACACAGGTTGTTGCAAGCAAGGAACTGGCTCTGAGGCCCTCTTTCTCTTCTTTGGCGGTGCTTTCGGCGGCAGCATTGCACCCAGCATAGGCTCGGCCTACAAGACTTTGGCTGCCATCCATCCGTCACTACATCATGCAAGTTTGCAGAGCTTGAGCAGAAGTTTTGCAGCAGTATATGTCTTGCAGTTAGTTTATTTGCTAATGTTACACAACCCGTAACTCACACTTGCTTGACATTTTCCGGCTTGAAACAATGCGTCGCGAACCTGCACCACTCTCAGTCCCTCCTCCTCCCAGCGGTCAGGGGAGTCCCTGGGAGACTCAAATATTCGAATGTCGGGATCCAAGTAAAGGACCCGGACCAGGCCTGGTCCCGAGATTGCATCAGAGAGAAGAGGCACACCCAGAATTACAAGGCCTCCACGCTCGATCTGCACTTCAAAGTCTTTAGGACAACTCTCCGTGCCATCAGCAGGCACAAAACTGCCTTCAGCAGTGAAATAAACTCCTGATCCTATAACCTCACCATAGTTAGTGACGCGGCCGGCAGACGAATCAAAAGCCTGGCCGGCCTTGTTGCTGAAGAAGGGCCGCAGGACACGGGCATTTGCTTCCCATCCCGGAGTGCTGCCCTGAATGTAGGCCGCCCGCCACAGGTTCTCAAGCGAGGCGCTGGAGCCGAGCAGCTCAGCTCGACACCTTACGCGCGCCTGGCTCAGCTCCTCGATGTAGGCGTCCACAACCTTCCTCCTGTCCGTGTCCAGACCCTCGCCATCTGCGGCTATCAGCATGTCCCGGAGCTTCCGTGCACTTGCCGGCGGTTCGTCCAGAAACGGCAACTGCGGCAGCCAGCCGAAAATGCTTGAACTGCCTGCACGCCTGCAACCTTTGCCCAGGCGACCCTGACATCGGCAAGCGAGCGCTCCGAAAACCAGCGAAGCAGAGGCGTGGCAAGAGACGGGCTTTCCTGAGTTGCGTGTGTTGAGCAAGCCTGACGCGGCAGAAGCTGATCTTGGGCTTGGGACGGTGATAGAAGTCACGAGGGATGGGCCAGCCAACGGCCACATTGGGCACTGCACGCGCGTGCTGAGGCACAAACCGCCAATAACCGACAAACCTGTGTTGAGATACACTCAGGGCTTGAGCCCAAATATACACCCGAGCAGCGATGAGAACTTTCTTTTTTGTTCTTTCTTGTTTGTCAACATCACTGTTGCCAAGGGTAGCTTGCGAATGCCAGGTTTTAGCTTGCGGTCCTACGGCGCGCCCTAACCCCCCAATTCGACAAAACATTTGGGCTGCCGAATCCTTAGTTAACTTATGAACGCTAGTTTTTGCTTACGGCAGCTTCGATCCTGCCACTCGCGTTCTTGTTTCCTTTATCGGGAGAGTGCACACGGCTTGCTTGCCCTCATCTGCACCTAGGCTGGTCAGCAGACATCAGCAAAGCACTTTTGTGCCGCTACCAGCTGCGCAAAGGCTTGCAGCCGATTGAGGCTCCCATGGGCACACACGATGAGATCATCCTGGCTCATCTTGCAGAGGCGGACGCTACATCACGTCGCAGGCTACAACAGTTTCAACCGCCAGCTTTTGCAGCCAAGCCACTACCACTGACAGGCTGCCAATTTGCATACCTCACGGCAGGTTAGGCAACATGAAGCTAACTTTCGATCTCAACATCCCCCTTGTGGTACTGTTCAAACACCTTCACAATTGCAACAGGCTGCTGTGCTCCCATCTGCCAGAACTTGTCCAAAAGTTCCTTTGGGCAAGTACCACGAATCACGAAGAAGATCGCAATGCCTATGGCATATACCGTCTCCGTGATGCACAAGTGCAATGGCCTAAGCTGAATTTCGGCACTCCTGGCATGGGCACTGCTTCCTGATATTCGCATGGAATGCAGTCAAGCCACAACTCTGAGATAATGCCTCAAGAACCCAGAACAAGTCAAGAAGGACAGTCCGTCGCCCGCCATGCAACTCCAACTGAAAGGCCGCCAGAGTGCTGTTCTTTGCCGGGAGTAGGCGTAAGGAACCGTACAATGCAACTGCCCCGCCTACGAGGTGCCAATAAAAGTGCCGCCATATCCAAACTTCAAACGCAGTCGACTGCGTTGAGTAGACCTGGGCGCGATGAAGCTGCAAGAGCTGAAAAGCATGAGCAGACCCTCCCGCAAATATTCTGGACGGGTGACAAAGGCACAGCATGGCACCAGCACCAGAAGCATAGTCTCAATAATTGAGGCACGCAGGTAGAAGTCGAAAGTTGACAAGAAAAGGGTGCCAGACGCCACAAAGATGTCCAGCCGTCCTCGCCATCATCAACACAATTCAGCTAAATCACATGCTTTCAAGCATGAAGTGGTGCAAACGACTTGTTCTATGCTGACTGCATCGCTAGTGGCCATAGAATGAACGCTGCCCACGGCGGATGAACAGGTAGTCTGCGCTATAGGATGTAAGGACAACCTCTGTTCTGCACGGCATGCTTGACCCTCAGGCTTCAGCCCTTCAAGGAGAATACCAAAATGCTGCCTTGCTGCCATTGTATATGTCACTGCGAGCAGAAAGTACAGGATCATCTGCAGCATGTTGTAACTGTCCTGCGGCATTTAACTAGCCTTCCCCCTCAGTTTAAACATTTCCGCACCCATACCTTTAGGTCGGCATACTGCAGCAGGCACCACCAGACAGCCCAAAATGCAGCTGCGGCTGGGGCGAAGAAGAAACAGCTCACCCCCACCAGCAGATGGCTACTCCAGATTTTGCAGGACTGCGACTTGAAGCCGATCAACTGGGCCAGTGTTCGGTGCATCGGCATGGCATCCCCCTGCCCTCGAAGCTTTGTCGAAGTCTGTGCCGAGATGCTGCTGCCGAGAATCTTAGTTCTATACCTCTTCGGACATCGCCTGCAGGTAATGAAAAAACAATTGCTGAACCTTCCCATGTCTTGACATTGCTTCTCAAAGATAAAGGCACCCTACAACCCCCAGAGTAGTGGCTACAAACCCCAACTTACCCCAAAGGATCCAGAAGCCTTGAAAGGCTCACAAATGACTTTTCTCCAGCCTCGGCTCTTGGCCCAAGTCTCCTGGGTTCCAGAGTGGTTTTGCGTGCGTCAGAGGCCCAAACGATTCAAGGGCTTGTAGTGGTTTCTGGCCTACATGAATCAATGGACTCGTAGTTTGCCACGGAGTTATGAAGTGATCACGTGAACGATTGAATGATCCAAGCCTAGAAGTTCAGAAGATCAATTTTGGCCAGTTTATCCTCTCAAGTCATAGAGCTTGCACCAGAATACTAGTCTTTCTGCTCAAACGTTGCGTATAGAGGTGGGCTGAGCCCAATGCCTTGGTCAACAGCAGGAGCAGAACTTGACCTAAGCGCTGGCACAAGCTGCTGCGGCAGGGTGCTCCACTCTGAACATCTCCCCACCAAATAGGACCCTCTATGACTTGTATGTAATGCACACAGAATCTCTATTTAAATCCATGCGCGTTGAATCTCACCCGCCTCTACAGTAAGTTCCCCACGTTTGCGGTGCTAGCAGTGAGCTGATGGATTCGTCCAAGAGCTTCAAAGCTTTGGCACGGCGAGCATCATATTCCTGAACACAGAGCCAACTGGCACCACTACATCCCATTCTGTTGTACTTCAGCTGTGCTGGTCAGCTGTGTACAATCATAAAAAGCCCAATTAAACCAATTGAGAGGTTTTTTTGCTGGGAGTCAGAATCCCATGGATAGCTAGGACCTGTGCCTTGGATCCAGGAGCACCCGGAACAGGATCTCCAGCCGACCTGTCAACGAACATGCGGCTCTTCTACTGCGCCAGGGACAAAACCCTTGCTTTTGGAAGCAGAGCTTTTCACTGGAACGGGAGCTAGCCAGCCACCCTGCAAGGATCTGTGAAGGCCCTGGCACAGGCCATGGAGGTGGCGCAGGCCAGGGCGTTGAAGCGGTCGCTGCTGTGAGGTCTGTCAAAGTTCATTCCGACAGTACGCACGAGTGCCGCTCTTGCAATTGGCTGATTTCATGATTTCAGCTCAGTTGCTCATCCCGGCGGCTGAGCTCCAAAGCCTCGCGTTCAAGTATCCTACCATCCAGTCTCCCAGCGCACAAGCAAGTCACAGCCTGTACACCTGCTCAGGCCTAGGCACGGCCCCTCCATCCTGTATTCGGCTGGGGTCGTAGACGATGGCCTCACACAAAGCAAGAGACCGGCACAGCCGCATGAAAGAGCAAGCAGCCAGTCATGCAGTCAGCAGCCGCAAGTCTGCGAGCAGAGTTGCATGCCTCTGCCTTTTCTGCATCATCCTGGTGGTGGCCATGTCCCAGCAAAATTTGCGTCAGAAATATGAAAGAGCAGCTAGCAGCAAGCTTTGCTGTCCCACTCCTCTGGCTGCCGGATTCTCAGTAATCCTGGCGCCGCCGTCGCTGCCAAGCTATGTGTCAACGCCTCGCAGATCTTTGGGAAATTGCCCCCCGTTCCAACTTTGAAGCTCACCGCGGGCAGCTGCTGCCAAGGAGCACCGATCGCACTTGCAACCGGACGTAAGGCTTGCGGAAACAGATTCGCCTTATGAACTTCGAGCTTGCGAATCGTGACTAAGAGCCTAGGCCTTTCTTTTTTGCTCTGCGGTGGTTGAGTACCCAGCAAAGACGAAGTCTGGCCTAAGCAAAGCAAACACAACACTGTTGTTTTCCACATCCTTGACTCGGAGATGTGACAGCAAAAAGCTGAGGGCTCTACGAGTGATCCCCATGTGCTTTGGCATGGGGGAACCTTGGGCAAATGGAATCTTTAAAATCTGCGCAAACCAGACATCCCCCGAAACACCTGGATGTTTCAGCTGAGCCTGGCACCAGTAGAAATACCGCAGATAGAACCAGGCCTCTTATCCGTTTTCAGAGACGAACCTATTCTCATCAGCTCTGAACAGCAATCTGTAGTCTCCTTAGACCTATAGTAAAAACTAATATGTTTAAAAATTCCTTAGGTCATACGATAATCAAGAATAAATATCATTCCTAAGGAGACTACAGGAGACTACAGCAATAGGGTTTCGGCAAAGAAGAAGGCCAAAGGCGCAAAGGGCCACTCAGGAAGCAGCCAGGCCGGGCCCAGAAGCCTGGGTTTCAGGATATTTGGGGTTATATAGGGGTTCTATTGGGGTTATATTGGGGTCTCTTTTTGGGAGCCCCTTTAACAAGAATGGCAATATATTGCAATATGTTCAGGCCTTCGTTTGGGCCTCTCGTTTTGCGGGACTAACGTACCTGCAAGATTTCTCGATTTCTCTGCAGTGCTCTGAGCCCCCTACCCGACGACCGTGCAGGCGGAAACCTGGGCACGCCCCCCCGCAAGGGTCACACTTGTGCTCGGGCCATGCCGTGAGCTCCAACACATTGCAGCAAGGCTGCCAAGCAGAACGGCAAATGCTGACCTCAGGCAAAGGTAGCTCGTCACATCTCGTCACGAATCACGAATGAGAACACTCCGCCCGGCTCACCTTATCAGATCATGTTGGAAAAGCTGAAGCAGGAGCATTGTAATCCCCAAGGCTTCGGAAGCGAAGGCAGTACCTGTCGCATCCAGTGAGCAGCATGCGGCATTGCACCAGCAACTGGCCCAGTGCGTTAGGGCCTCATGCCCCACAGCAGAGTGCAGCAGTGCAGCATCCATTTTCCAGACAAGAAAGCCATGTGAGGCAAGTGCTTCTGACGCTCGGCCGACGCTGGGGCTTGCGGGTTGCCCATTCTGGAGACTCCCTGGCTTCCTTCGCGGCTCCGCTGCTCCTCTTACTCCTCTTACTCCTCCGACTCCTACCTTCTCCAAGGTGAGGCAAGCATTTCGCCAGCTGCCAGCCAGGGCAACGCTTCACAGACATCTGGGCTCGCACATGAGATTTGTCGACCTCATTGGGAGCCAGCTATGGCATGTGGCGGCCGATTGCAAGTCATGTCTTGGGAAGCTCGCATCGTTGTCTCTTAGATCATCGCGTCCTTTTCTTTTGAGGCTTTGTCTCGTTGCACTGCAACCATTGGACTTCACATTGCAGGAACTCGCTCAGCTCCTGCGAGCCTGATCTAGTTCATCTGACATTTCAGACCACAGCTCTTCTAGCCCTCTGACAACTCCCCACCCACCCTGTAATGTCAATCACAAGCATTACAAAGCAGCACCTTGCAAGCCAGGTGCCGTGCTTGTCAATGTCAAAATGCAAAAGTTTCACATTTTTGGACGGCAAGAAGGTGAGCACACGCTGATGATGAGCTGCCACCCAGGACATCAGCTCCTCGTAGTAGGCACGAGACTGCAAGATACGAAGCGAAGACTTGTAGTCTAGTTGCAAGCTGGCTCCTCATCCGTTTCGCCGGCGTTCACCGGAAGGCCTGAGCAGCGATCGCAACTCGCCCCAGCTTCACGGATCCCTTGTTTGTCACGTATAAATGAGGCCCAGGCCAGGAAGGTCAGCCCGCACGAAGCGTGCGTGCATGTCGTTGTGCTGGCGCACAGACCTCACCCATTCCTCAGAAGGGGCAGGGCGGGGAGGGGGGAAGTTGGAACTCTCAACCTTAAGCACGGGTGACCAAAGCCTGACACTTTTCAGGCTTTGGGCAACCAGGAATAAGCAAACAAGTCCCAGTTTTGCAGGCGGAACACTCTGAGGTCTCGCACGTTCAGGATGAAGTGCGCGTGAGGGTAAGCTGACACCAGCTCTTCCAGGTAGACCATCTGAGGAAAATAAGCATGGACTGCGGTCTTCTCCCGATCTGCCCAGAACATGCCATTCATCTCTGCCAGCGCATTTACCTTGGCCAGTCATAGCTTAGACGTAGACTCTTCTGGCACGAGTAAGCTTTCCTGCAAGCTATCCCAAAACGTGGGAAAACTGCCACGAAATTTGCAAGGCAAGGCAATACATTGGGCAGAAAGTTAGGGAGTTAGGGGTCTTCAAGCCTTGCCAGAGACAGTACATCTGATGAGGCCTTGGGGATCTTGGCCTGGTATCGGGTTGCCCATAAAGATCTTCAGGAAGCAAACCTAAGAAATTGCAAGTAGCACAAGGGAAACCCACAGCAGTGAAGCTAGAGCCAACGAACAACGGGAACCCCCCATCCTGACGCTGAGTCAAAAAGCGATGGCAAGAGCAAAAAAGTGAGTTCACACCTCGCAAATAGAAGCATACACGAGTGAATATCTTATCCGACCCCCACACTTGAATCATGTCATCTCATCAATACGATACTTAGCAAGTTCCCGGCACAGCCTCCATCTGGGCATCCAGGGAACCTCCGGAAGATATGCAAGGGGCTCCTTCCCTTCACTGATTGCTCGCTCGATCAAACGGCCCACCAGTCGCTGCTCCGAATCCTTTCCCCACAGTTGCAGTTGCGTGTCTTTTTGCAGGTTCCGGCCCGCATCCAACGCCCAGTGCACCTTGGAGTCATGGATCTCCATTCCCCACCAGCACAAGATTCAGACAGTGACTCCACCAGCACAGATTCAGATATTGATTTTTCTGGTGAAAAATTATGGGTCTGGGTGCAGAGAACGGGTCACAACGTTGAAAGCTACCTGTCATCCACAGGTAATGCGTAAAGGAATTCTATGAACAGACCATACCCCGAAGGAGGATGTACTCCTACTTTGTACTGGTGACTGTAGTTTCCCCGCTAAACCCTAAACCCCCAAACCCTAAACCCGCAACCCTAAAACCCTGAACCCTAAACCCTAAACTCCCTAAACCCTAGACTCCCTAGACCCTAAACTCCCTAAACCCTAAACCCAAAACTCCCTTTTTCCCTAAACCCCATTAGAAAACCTTGTTTAAGAATGCCAGGGTGCCGAGGTGAGCCCAGCAGACCGGAAGGCTTCATGAAGCGATGTGGTACCGGCCTTGGGCATTCCCAGCACCAAGACCTGTGGCTTTTGGGAGGTTCCCAAAACCCTTAAGGGGCTTAACGGGGATATGTAGGAAATGTAGGAGTTATATTGGGATATATAGGGTTTCTAGGGTACCTTTAAAGGGGTTATGGGGGATCTAGGGCACAAGCAGTGCAGGCACGGCAATAAGGTTGAGGGGATATGCAGGGTTATGTAGGGATATGTACGGGAGTTTCCCAAAACGCTTTAAGTGTAGGTTTCCCAAAATTAGGGGTTCCATTTTGGGGGTCCCCATAAAAGTAGAAACTGTAATTCTTCGGTGTCTACACTGGGATCGGCCCATGTTTGGAAACTATTCTCTGAATGGCGAGTGCCTATAGAAACAGTGAATTCAGGAATACAGAGCGATCCGCAGGGGATTACGGGGTTCCTCCTGAGGATTCTACAAGGACGATTTTGATAAACTCTCAAGTGGATCCCCTTTTACGGAGCACCAAGAAGAAAGTCCACATTGGAGTACATTATGGAGGGGACCCTACTTTCGAGACACCCGGACCAGCTTCTGGGGCGTGGAGGAAGCTACTGCAATGCACAGGCTGGTGTAGCACGTATCCACGTGCTTGTCCTTGGCCGCTGTGCTCTCCGTCTCGTTCACCTGCGCATTTGGCATCTACCATTTCCGCATGTACCCTGCACATCACCAACATCCCCATTCATGTATCCACCATGAGATCCCCACCTCAGCCTTCTCAGCCGTACATGTCGCCCTTGCCGCGCTGCCGTACTGGCCTTCGCCCAGCTCTGGGCTCCTGGCATCCTGGCCTTCGCCTTCCCACCTGTCTAGAAAAGTCGCGTTTCGTTTGCATTACAAAAGTATTGCATGGATCATGGGTGGTTAGGGGTTCTCAGTGTCCGATTCAGGTTGAGTCGGGTGGTCTAAAAAACCCGAGCATCCAACCTTGAAGACGACCATCTCCATCCTGAATCCCAATCCCGGCTCTGCGCATCCCACCAGCCATGCCACTCCCTTCGCTCCCAAGTCCATGACTGCCAATCCTGCTTGCTGGGTTGAAAAGCCCAGTGCAGATTGACAGCCAAGGACATCTGCAACGGAACATGAAGGTAAACTCTGAAGCATTTCCATCTGCGCCTCTGCTTTTAGAACTGCTAAAACAAATTCGAACCCTTGTCGTGCATGGGCTGCAATCAAGTCCAAGTCAGGACGCGACCAGGGCACCTGCGATTGCTCTGCATGTCCTTCCCATCTGTTCTCAGGCATCGGTAGCTGCAGGTGAGCTGCACCCGAGGTCAAAGGCAGACAGGCCAAAGCAGATTGGCAGTAGTAGCGTAGTATTGTGGCACTGTCGTAGTGTAGTAGTGTAGTGTAATAGTGCACATAAGCACCAATAGCACTTGGAATGTTATCTCCTTTCACATCATGACGGGTATAACGCTCCTGAGGGTTGCAGGTTTCGTTCGTTGGATCGCGTCTTTGGCATGGGCTGATGAACACACAAACCTAAACGGTCGACCCTGCTTGTGCCTTTGGTGAAGGTGTTTTGTGTATTGACCCTTCTGCTGGCTTCCAGGGCGGCAACTGATGTCTCCCGCTCGTCTTCAAAGTGTCACACAAGCTTGATCCATTACGCCACAGGCTGATGCAGCCATGGTGGCCTGCTGTATTGTCACTGGTGGGAACCCATCTGACCAGAGACCGAAAAATGAGCAGTTCCTGCCTCCAAAGGGTAAGCCTTGAGCAGATTCGACTGCACGTAGGCATCGCATCCCCAATCAGAAAGGCTGAGGCAAAGGCATGCCTCAGGCCAACCGCCAGTGCCACAAGCAAGCCAGAACACCTCGGAACGCAAGCAATTGTGCAAGTTCCTTGGATGCTTTCCTTGCCCAAAATCCAAGTTCCGGGCCCACGTGTGGGCAGAAAGAAATCCTGGCTTAGAGCCATGACAAAAATTTCCCGCAAACCCCAGATGACAAGACCTCGCCTTCTCTCTAGCGGTTCGAAACACCTGCGCAGGGACCCTTTTGTGCTACACTCCGCATGGGTTTGGGAAAACACTAAGAGTTACCTGCCCAGGACGTGCTGGTTGCTCCAAGCGTGGGAAAAGTTATTGTTTTTCTGCCTCCAGCTGCTTCTAGTTTAGGTTCATCACCATCTAATTGAACCACATATCTTATGATCCTTTTTAACAACGCTTCTTGTACCCGCATGTAGCCGCTTGCCTCCCCGACCTCCCAGAAGAGGACCACCTGCAATGGGCGGGCAGCTCGAGGTCGGCTTGGCGGTCACCGGGAAAGTGTTAACAATGACAATCTGTATTCTATGGCCTAATGAATATTGCGCATCAGATGAAAAAGCCTTGCATGTACAAACCGAGTGCCAGGCAACTGACGACGCCGCGCAGGCAAATGCCAAGTACAGGCAGAGCGCGCGCACTGACCTGGGATGTTGCAACATGTTGGCAGTGCTATTCATGCATTATGGATTCCAAGCTGTCATGGGGGGCATGTAGTACATATTACCCACCATATGCTATAGTAGTTTCAATTTTGTTTTCCCAACATACCCCCTATTTACCCCGATATAACCCTAACATAACCCCAATATAACCCTACTATAACCCTATGTAGTAGCAAAGGCTGGCATCCTGCAGGCTGATTTTTTGCTCTCTTCAGCCGAATGCGGCTCGTTTGGATCTGGATAGTCTGCCACAACGAAGAGAGCCTCCATCTCGTCACCACATTGGCGAAGAGAATCGTAATACCTTGGTGAGCGCCCCTGCTCTTCCATGTTCTATATTAAATCTGTGCACTCGCTTTGGCAAGGTCATTTGGGCCGGCCGCAGAAGAGCCACGAGCGGATACGAGAAAGCAGTTCTGCACATGTCAACTCAAAATCTTTGCCAGCTCAGTTGCGTGTAGGGCCGTGGCTTGATGGACCGGACGACCCAACCAGTATCCGCAAGCTGCCTTCGTAGATGCTCTTCTGTCGTACGGCGTGGGCCCGTCCAACCACAGCCCGCATTTCCTGCCAAGTGAATCTCGCTGCCCGGACCCCTTTCGTGACTTCCCATCCTAGCCCCTGTCGGCAGGCCATCAGAGAAGGCATGGAGAAGCAGCCGCCCACCAGCTCGCACACATGCGGCCGATGCACGGAGCGCGCTGCGCTGCACTTCGTCATCGCCTCAGCTGTGCGAATGTACTTAGGGCTGCTCAGCTTAAGCGGGCACAAGTCAAAGACAGCTCTGGGAACCTCGCCAATTCCATGGAAAACCGCAAAATCCAATATGGTGTCATAGGGGAGGTCGTTGATTTCAGGCACTTTGTCTAAAGCCAATAGATCAGCTTCATAGACCTTGGAAACAAAAAAATCAAAACGAAGCTCGCAGGCTGGCGTTACCGCGCAGTTGTAAGTCCAATCTGCAAACTCCACGTACAGGAATTGTTGCAGCCCAAGGACGCGCAATGACCTCAAACAATCAGAAAAGACTGGGTTGCTGTTAAGGAAGTTCAATTATATGAATATACAGTAAATAATATGGTTTCCCCGAAATAGTAACTTAATTTAAATTCCTTAACAGCAGCCCAGAAGATGGCAGTGGACGGCTGAGAAAGGTTTAGTCCTCAGAGCCTGCTGCTGAAATTTTCCCCAAAACCGTGCTCCATGCAACGTGAGCATCGCGGCAAACATGTCAAAGTTTCTCTAGGCAATATGGGGATTTCCCAAAATTGGGGGTACCATGTGTGAGTCCCAATAATGGGGTTCCCCTATTTTGGGAAACCACCATATCTTTCAGGATGGCTTTCATTTTAAACCACCAACTATTGCCTTCAAGGACTCCTACCCAAGATTAAAAGAGCAATCGAATCTACTATACTGACTGTGTTATACATCACCAAGCAGCCCTGGTATTGTTCTCGCAGCTTGAACCCGCTCATGTGCCAGGCTGACTGCCGCGGGTACAATGTCGAAAGCGGTCACTTGGAAGCCGTGCTCAGCAAGGAAGATGGCCTGAAATCAGCAAGATGCAGTCAAGAACATAGTAGGAATATGATAGGATATTCTTACCAGAGTCCTTGTAAATGAAGCCTATTGAATTCCTTTTTTGTTTAGCCTGTCCTCTCCTAGTGATGGGTCGGTCCCAGATGCATTTTCACCAGTGCCGCAGCCGACGTCTAGAACGCGAGGTCCTATCACATCACCTTGGTTGTACAGATTGAGATGACAGCCCTTCCCTCACATCACCGCATGAGCCGTAGACTAAACTCTTTAAAGGGGGGTTATATAGGGGATTATATGATTATATAGGGGACGACTACAGGGGTTACTAAGGGGAATACTAGGAGTGTAGACGAAAAAAAGCTCACATGAATCCGAAATATGTACTCAAAACCCCCCAAAAAGGAATGGTCCAGTCAAATGGCCGTCCGCCAGGGCGACCGCCAGAGCTGGCTGTGGGATTCCCACGTCCCAGGGAGCCCCCTCCGGAGCCTGGTCCCCTTAAGTAGATAGAATATGGGGCATATTAGGGTTTTATTGGGGTTATATGGGAATAATGGAAAAGAAAATGGAAGCTGCTATAATGGGTTATATTGTTGGGTTATATAGAGATAATGGAAAAGAAAATGGAAACTACTATATTAGAATAGGGGACCAAGATGGTCACCAGTACCTCTGTGCCTGGGGGCTTCGAAGCTAAGATCGGTCCTCGTAGGCACTCTGGAAGAAGCTCAAGGGAGGCGCTCTATCCGACATCTCAGCTGTCCCGTGGCGGAAAGACGGGCAAGGCATCTGTTGAGCCGACATCGCAACACTGCGGCAGGAAGCATGTTGTCCATACCCAGCAGTGGCAGCAGAAGAAAAACGATGTGAAAGGTGCCAGGCACGCTAAGCCAGATTGCAGGAGATCCTTTCTGCATTCAGATGACGGTCGCCAATCTGAGCTACTGCAGGCAGCTGCGAAGCTTTGCTTTGCGGCCACATGCGTCGTCCTACAGCTCGTTCCATTTCATCTTAAAAACGCCAGACTAATGAAAGTCGAGCCTGCGCCATCCATCTCCATTAACAAAGGAAAGTTCAACATGCCTTGTCACACTGTCACCTGGCAGCTTGCAGGCATTTGGTGTCAGCATCAAACAACTAGCAAAACATGTTCTCAGGAACACTTGACAAGAATCTACGCCTCTGAGTGAGTAAAAACCGCAAACAAACCTGAAACTGGGGGCCGTTGCAGGCAAAGGGGAGGCCTGTAGCGCATGGCATACTTAGACTAGGGCGAGGAACATGCGACTGGGTAATTTCAACAAGTACGGGGACCCCAATATAGACCTCAAAATACCATGTTTACTACCTTATAGGGACCCCCATATTGGTACCCTGGTACCTTAAGTCTTGAGAAACTCCCGCTTCTTGTGTCAGAGTCACTTGCATTGTTCCGATGATGGGCAAATGGTCGAAAGCCTGAACACCTGGCACCGTTCGCCTTACTGGTTCTGAGAAAGGAACGTGGGATAATGGAAAAGAAAATGGAAACGACCACACTGGAATAGGGCATATACCGTGGTTATAGTGGGGTACTTGCCTTACTGGGTGATAGTAGGGAATATAGGAATGTAGGGATAATGAAAAAGTGCAAAAACTACTACATTATGATAGGAGATATATATATATATAAATTGGGGTCATCGTAGGGAATATGGGAATGGACTCCCTATATAGTCCCTATATAATACATTCCCCGACACCCTACTAACAACCGGTAAGTCTCCAAGAGGTGAGGTCAATCTGCAAAGAGCTGTTCTTGTACCAGCCAAAGCCATCCAGCCATCCGAACCTCACGCAGACATTTCACCCAACAGTAGTTGGACGCTGCTGAAACAAACCTGGTGCTGTGCTTAGTGTGCGGATACATTCCTTCTCAGGAGATTCCCCCAAGGCAAGACCCAAGCCCTTTTAAATTCCTTCGGTTGCTAGGATCCAGAAAAACCATCTCAACTTGTTGAACGTTTTGAAGGTGAGAGATGACAAGCAGCTGGAAAAGATGGTGCTCCGAAGCTTTGTCGGGAGTCGCCTCAGACCGGACCTTCCGCTGAATCCACTTGCCATCCTCGGTAGTTAGGGTTGGGTGGTTTTTGCCACTTGCATGGCTGAGGCAGCATTGCAAGGCTTAGAGTTTAGGGTTTAGGGTGGGCAGTTGTCTTCGAAAACGTTCAATCTCCAAGACTCTTGTCAATGTATGTAGGGCTTCAGGGTTAAGGTAATTTCCCTCCGTGCTTTAGCGCCATCCAAGATAAGTGCGAATGATTTTGCGAAACCCCCTTCCTCCTTCCAACTAAAATACGCCGAGGACGGGTTTGCATGAGATGCCATGGCATTGTCACTGGCAACTGGCTGATCCAATGTCCTTGGAATGGGCTGTCTCAAAACGATGCTATGTCAACAAAGTTTTGCAACAACGCGTACCCGCTACCGAATGCGCAACGCCTCTGACTTTTTAAGGGCATACCCTTACCACCCGCTTGGGTCCCAGCGACCTGCCAGACCAGGAGGAAAAGCTTTCTAGTCGGCTGAAGGAGACCAGATCTAGCAACCTCAAACGGCAGCCCAGCTGTGCTCCCAGCATGACCTTCCAGAATGAGACCCGTTCCCCATATTGATGAACCTGCCCGTGATGAATATTAAGCACCCCCGATGCCATAAAAGATATATGTAGGGGAGTATTCGGGAAGCGTGGGGAGGACTTATTATCATTGTGGAGGACAAGTGCCAAAATTGTGTTTTTGTTTCGGGTTCCTGTTTTGATCGAAAGCTGCTTTCCAAGCCCTGTTGGACGGGCGCGAAAGCATCTTCTCATAAACACGGCCTCGCCTCGAATGGCTCCACCCTGTAAAAAGGCCATGGGACTTCAATCTTTGAATCCAAGGAAGCATCGATCGTCAGCCAGAACCTCACTCTAGCAACGTCATGGAGCTGGTGCGTGGGTAGCACAACAAAAACACCTACAGTACCAAAGCCTACCACCTGAAACTTGCTCCACTCCTGCTGCACGGCCACATGTCTTTGATTTTGGCATTGCACGCAGGCATTTCATACGCCCTGCCGCGAACATCGCGCCCAGAGTATATCAGGGAGTCTTTCTTCAAAAGCTCCAAGCGTTTGACTGGGTCAGCTAAACAATCAACCAAAAAGCGCGCGCCGCTTTCGGTCAATTCGTACTTGCCCTTTGTCTTCTCAGATATATGGTCCTTCACATCCTCAAATGCAACCAATCGATTGTTAAAGTCACCCCACATCAAGGCACCAAACTTCTCGCTGCCCCTCCTGGAAACATTGAGCATGCGTTCCAAAGCCTGCAACTGCCCCAGCCTAGACTCGTCATCTGTGTCGAGATTTGCACCCAACAACATCAAGTCAACGTCGCGACCGTCTACATGCAAGAGCACTTCTTGCTTGAGAATCGCCTTGAACGACGGCTCGAATTCGTTTTTGCGTGCAGACTTGCAGGTTAACGCCAGCGTTTCGGGGAAGCAGTCATGATGGTTGATGGAAGCTTCATTGTCAGCATTCTTGACATACTGACAGCCTACAGCCACATGCATTGAGACGTAACGTAGACCGTCACCCATGCCTTTGACCAGCTGGGCAGGTATCCTTCGAATCAACAGAGATGGGTCATCCTCGTTGAACACGTAATGCTCACGATCCACGGTCTTCATGGACCTTTTGAGGAGGGAGCGAACAGTTTCCGCATTCTCGGGGTTTACGAAAACGTCAGTCAAGTACAGAGCAATCACGCCACAGTTCTCCGCTGAACAGGCTGCATCACCATAGAGCAGCTGGTTCAATGCATCAGTTGTAGGAAGCTTTTTGTGTAACTTGACAAACCCCAGCCACACTGTAAGTCTCGAGCCCTGCCCAACATCCAGTTTCACCAGCGAACGCATTGGGAAATGGTGGTATGCTCGCACTTTCCATTCACATTGCCATTCTACAATTTCTGCGGCTATTGTGCTGCTTCTGCTAAATCCGACCCCATCCGGCCATCCAAGTTGTAAGCATAGATTGGAGCGGCCATCATCTTCGGCTATGTCATAATGGCATGGCCTTCCAGCTTTCCACCCGAAGTATGTGCCTGTAACATCACTCTTCAGGACGTCCATGTCCACGTGCTGGAGTGAATCTAGACAAACGACTTCCTCCAATTTCAGCCGGTGCTGAAATGCATTAGACAGAACTGCATCCAATGGGGTGTGCTTGTAGGATGGCATTGGAACACTCAGCACACATGCAGAGTGCTGCTGCAAGGCAAGTTCGGATGTCATGTTGAACAACTCCAAAAGTTTGCTTTGTGACTGCGGAGTAGTGAACGGATTGCCGCTGATGTCAAGCCCGGAGTACGTCAGGGAGTCTTTCTTCAAAAGCTCCATGCGTTTGGCCGGGTCAGCCAAAAAGTCCGCCAAAAAACGAGCTCCACTTTCGGTTAATTCGTACTTGCCCTTTTTCTTCTCAGATATATGGTCCTTCACATCCTCAAATGCAACCAATCGATTGTTAAAGTCACCCCACATCAAGGCACCAAACTTCTCGCTGCCCCTCCTGGAAACATTGAGCATGCGTTCCAAAGCCTTCAATTGCCCTAGCCTAGACTCGTCATCTGTGTCGAGATTTGCACCCAACAACATCAAGTCAACGTCGCGACCGTCTACATGCAAGAGCACTTCTTGCTTGAGAATCGCCTTGAACGACGGCTCGAATTCGTTTTTGCGTGCAGACTTGCAGGTTAACGACAGCGTTTCAGGGAAGCAGTCATGATGGTTGATGGAGGCATCATTATCGAAATCGCGCACATACTTGCGCTTCACCGCCACGTGCATTGAAACGTGGCGGAGTCCCTCATCGTCAGCCTTGACCAACTGCGCAGGGATCTGCCGTAGGAGCAAGGCTGGATCATCCTCATTGAAAACCTTGGCAGGCAGTATAACTGCATATGACACACGTAAGCACTTGCAAATGAAACATGCAAATCCGATGCTACGTATTTGTAGTCGCTTAGACTGGCCTCTGGCCGCATCGCTGGGGCGCTCTGCGGCAAAAAATATGCATGCAATTTCAAAAGTATGCCGTGCAAATTTCGGTCTCCAGTGAACCCGTCTTGGAACCCAATGAGTTCCCCCCCGGCTCAATGCCCCAGTAAAGTACGGCTTGCAATGAGTTCTGTTCTTAACCCCGTGGCCCAAGCATGTGCCTCGGCAAGAAACCAAGGACGCAATGCAATTACCTACCTCATCAGCGTTTTGTTGGAGCAAAAGGGATGGACACCATGTAAGCTCATGCACATCATGGATATGGGCCCACGTTAAGCAGCCAATTGTCGTCTACCAGGCCAGTTCTATTGAAATACAAAGACCAAGAAGAAACCAGAAAAACAAAACATCCAGAGGAAAGACGTCAAGAAAGATCCTATGAGGATAAGCAACGAATATAGATCAAACGCTACATCCCTTCCTGCTTCTAAACTGCATGCCAATGCACGTACTCCTCCGCTCGCTCCGGTCCCATGGCGTTCCTGCACACGTAGATTCTCAAGGCCCGCAATTGCACAAGAAGCCCATGAACAGTACAAGCATGCTTGATGACACATGTCCGCAGCAAGCTTCGCAATCCATTCGTTGAGCTCGGATGAATAAATAGATCTGTCAGGAAAAGGGCAATGACGTCAGCACCATCTGCATTGCCTATCGTCATGGAGTTGTTTGGCTGCCACTCGGTTCCCTGACTGCAATCAAAACACAACTTTCAGCCAAGGTACCACATTCCCCTTCAAATAACAGTCGCTGCAGGCATTGCGTTGTGGGAATTTTGTCGTCCAACTTCATCCCACACAACCAGATTTGCAGCTCTGTTGCTGCAGACGCCAGCGCACCTTCTGCAACACCCCCTCGCAGTACTTAAACGTCCCGATTTCTTGTTTATGGTGCGACTGTTCAAAATTAGTTCTGCAGTATGTGACACACCGCAGTTCAGCCATTTGAAGCAGGCAAAACACAGGGGCCTTCCCCGTATAGTTGTCGCAGAAAGTCTTCCACTGACACAGACGACCCATCCAAGATTAAGCGCAGTAAATCCTCATCTGGCTGTCCGGGCTGTAGATCTCGCAGCAGCCTGGGTCTGAACCACTATCTGGTGCCATGAATGTTGTTGAACTAAAATGTGGGTGCAATGCATCCGAGACGCTGCACCAAATCCAAAGAACAAATCCGACCATTGGAACCAGCTTGTGTCAGAAGGGCCCTGATTTGGTCCATCCTCTTAGTGAGGCTTTGCGCAAAAACCGTGGGAGCACCATTATGAGCCGCTCTGGATTCTGGATGGCTGGAAAACCACGACTCCGACCTCTGCACGCAGCCAAGCTCCCAACCACAGGCGCTCCAGTCGTTGCACCTGGGACATGCAATGTTATGCAACCCCAGTAACTCTGAAAGTTAATTCGCAGCACACACACACACACAGTTCCAAACTAAAGCTTGAACCATCCACACAATAGCCACCGTCATTGCAATCCCACCTCAAATGGTTCAACTTGCATGCAATACGGTTTGCGAAAGCAGTCATAAATCGAGCTTCGAACGCAATAAGCTTGTCTCGTATAGATGAGACGTCACCAAGTTCCAGACTGAGCACGGAAATCAAAACCACGGAACATTCTGGGATTCTGAGCGGCAATCTGAGGATGGCGACCAAAGGGAAACGGTAGCGAAGCAATTGGACTGAAAATTGTGTGGTGGGGAACCTCCGTTGATTTGATGCCGGTATTGTTTCCTGGCGCCTTCGTGGAGCCCGAGAGCCGTGCCAGTGCAAAGGTGTCATCCATAGTGGCAGGGAAAATGGCGTGACCCAATGTCAGGAGGGCGACCTCGCAGAATTGGGAAAGGCATTGTGTCACATGCACAAACCATCCCAACCCCATACACTGTCCAACTTCTCAAACGTGTTTGGTGGCCGGGGACCATACACAGCCACCCAGCCTGGCAACACAGAAAATATACGCGAGGTAATCTTACAGAACTGCAGACTGGGGTTGCTGCAGATTGGAACATGATGTGGGCAGATTCAAAGCATTGGAGCTGTCAGCAACATCCAGCCTAGCGCAACTGCAAATGTCAACCTGCAAAAAAAAGCCAGTCGTGCAACTTGAGGGGCACACGGGACTCGGACGTCCATAAACGCTTTCTCAAACCTATCCGGTGCCTACGTCCCAGGCGGTTCTTGTGCGCCCGGGTTGGTCACCCCATGTTCTCCCATTTTGGTCCAACATCTCAAATCCAACAGGTCAGGCTCTGCGAGTAGCACACATGCGACTGCGCGCCACATGCGCCACTGCAACAGGAGCAACTCATCATCACTTGAATCTGAGCTGCGATGCTGTTTGTAGCACCTTTTCCAGCTCAGCACGTTCGCGTCGGTCAAATCGGTTTACCCACGCAAACAGGGGAAGCCAAGCTTTTTTTACCAATTCTTAACAGGGACAATGATAATAAAAAATATAGGGAGCATGTGGGGATTATGTTCCCGTCTTCCTGACTCAGAACCTGTAAATCCATGAGTCATGCAGTGAAAATGTGACTTGCGAAACTGACATTGCCCGCATGCCTACCAAAAAATTGTTGCCATCCCCAAACGTCTTGCAAGCTGGTCTGATCTTGATTGACAGCAGGTCGAATCAATGGCCCATCGCGCAGTTTCCGCTCAGGCACCGGTTTTGTTATTGTACTGCCCAACCGCATCACGCTCTCCAAAATTTCGACGGATAAGCACAGTCGCAACTCAAAAATCTGGCTGGCGACAGCAGGTCTCGACTCCCACACGGACAAGTTCCACGTCAATAAATGGCAACGCCCAAGAACGCTCGAAATCTCGCTGCAGCCCGAACTCAACTTCCTAACTGCATCAAGTCTGTAAACCGCGCAATGCACCCACGGACTGAGATGCGAACTCACCAGCAGTTGCTGAGGGCCCTTCGGACAACAGCACGACGATTTCTCTTGACAAAGGCCAGCGCTTTGCAAGCCTGCATGAGTCAACACAAAGTTTTCAGGCCGGCAAAGACAAATGACGAATTCTTCGTGACGTGCCAACAGTTTGTGTCGTGAAGTTGGCGCAGTGCAATCAGAGGCGGCCGTCGTCAAAAAACAGCACAAGAAGATCTTCGAACGCTGCAGTCTGGGTTGCGTGGAAGATGCTGCGCATTCTTGGCCCAACTGCCTTATAAACATCCCCGCAGATCAGCTTTGCACCTGAAACGCACAACTTCATCGCAGCTAGCCGCTCAGAATGCTGGTCCTAGATATGGGACCACAACAGCTCCCAGGAACGTAGCTTGGCGTTGTGCACACGCCTTTTTACCCCTGCATTGTTGGACTCCAGTCGCCCTACGCACAGGCAGCGTTTGGCAGGCGCCTATAATGGCCGGGTTGAGGGTCGACTAGCCCAGACGCGGAGTTCCCCACGGGCGTAAGCCGGCAGCTCCGGTAAGTCAAACAATGTTTCATCGCCGTTGGCCTCCCCTGCAGATTGGAAATCAAGCAGGGAGCTCGCGTATGCCCGCTGGGCTGCGACTGCGCGCAAATCCGCCCATCTCTCGACCAAGGCCAGTTTAGCAGCCGGACGGAAGTGCGGCTTTTTTGGATTGGATGCAAAACAGGCATGCAAGTGTAAAAGTCCCAGGAAAAAATACCACGCGAGCAGGGTTGCTGCGTAGCAAAAGCTGAGGGGGCGTCTGCGCCAAAGAAGCATTGCAACAATGCCTCCAATTCATGGCAATGTAACCTCCACGGAGGATGGTCTGTTGCCAGGCCCCTGGAAAATGAATTTATACGACGCAGCAAGCCTCATGCGCACGAAGGGGCAACAGATCGTCTGTTGGAACAAATGCCCACCAACAGAAACTGCGGACTAGAACACCCATACAAGAGGCAGTGCACCCTGCAACAACAGCAAAAACTGGTATCATCCCGCAATCCGCAGCAAATTAAAGTCCTCCCCCTTATCATTTCCAACCTTCTCTGGCTGAATTTTCCTGCGATCATTTCTCGGTATTTGCCCAAACCTCCTGCCATCGTGTGATCCTGGGATATAAGCTGGATTTTCACTGTTCAGGATGCACAGCATGAACCAAAGCCAATCACGCACCAAGCTTGGTCAAGAAACAAAAGGACCTGTCTAAAGGTAGCCAGAACATGCCAGTCCAGACACTGTTCTAGGAGCAGAATGGGGTAATCTTGGAACTGCCACAATGCGATCTGGCCATGGAATGAGGCGCAAGTTGGGCGTGATTAGTGGGGTTTCCCGGTCCTTTAATTTTCCGGTGCGAAACCTTGGGGTCGCTGGTAAAAACCGTTGTGGGCCACGCTAAAACTGGTTCCCCGGGCCCTTCAACGAAACGTTCTAGGGCCTGCGCTGCCGAGCCATAGCGCCAGCATCCGGTTCCTCCCTTGGGACAGTCTGGCTCTGCCGTGGATTTTGGGCATCCAGTCCCCCTTGGTGGAGACAGTCCGGCTCTGCTCTCTGCACAACCTGTTTGCTCTTTGCACTGCACTGGCTCTTGGCACCCGGGACCGCCCGGCTCTGCCCTCCACTTCTTCCTCCACAAGTCGCCGTTGCTGGGGAGCGCACGACCTCAACACCTTTAGGGCTTTGGGTTTAGGACCCGTGAGGCATCCGCTACCTCCCGTTGTCCAAGACACGGTCGCGACCGTCCGGCTCTGCCCCCCATTGCCCCTGCCGCGCTCCCTAGCCGCGCATGCCAGCCACTCGCCCCGGGCGAGCAAAGCCTGATTATTCCCCAGAAAATGACACCCCGCTTGCACCTGCCACTGCGCTGAGCCATTGCAACGTGCCAATCCATGTGTCAACTGGGTCGCCCCTGCCGGGGGCCGCGCCATCCACTCCGCCGTGGTTGCTGGGCCGTGAGCTGCCCGTGCCGGGGCCAGCCCACTTTCCGACGTGCCCAGTATGCCAATGCAACGTGGCTCCGCAAGCAACAGGCCCTGAAGCACCTTTTTCGTGGCCTGGCTGCGAGCACCACCTTCACTTGGGATGTGTGGCCCACATGGCAGCCAATGTAGCCACATTGCGCTGCCCGTCCTGTCAGGCAGCGTGGCCACCCTCCTCAGCAGAGGCTGTGCAGGACGCCTGCCGCGCCCAGGGACTGGGGCTGCCAGCGCCAGCACCTGAGCACGACACCACGTCAGCCTCGCACCATGCTGCCACCGCGCCTCCCCCGCCTCGGCACATCATGCCGCTCTGCTGCCCCCACGTCTTCCTCGCCCATCCGGACCGGGCCGAAGAGGACGCAGCATGGGAGGAATTGCCTGACCGCAATATGGATTGGGCTCCAGTTTTCCAACGCCAAACTGCTCAGTGGCGTCCTGAGTGGGTTTGCCTCATCAGGTGTAATGCCTGCCTTGACGAAAGCCACACTATGTTTCAAGGCCTTCCAGCACAACGCCCCATCTGCCCTACGCACGGCCCCCGTGCGCTAGCCATTGATTTGCAGGAAGGCAGTCGCGGCTGCCTCCCACACACAGCTGGTTTTTTGTCCCGTTACTGCACGCGGCTGCCCGCCGATGGGCGGTTTAGTGTTGTGTGGCATCGCTACCTCTTCCTCCTCCAAAGCGCGCAGCCCATCCGGCCCGATGCACCTGTCCGAGCGTTGGCCGTTCTTCAACAGCTTGCTGCAGCCTGCGGTCAGCCTTGCCCACCTGCCAAAGCTCACCTCCTTGATTCGCTTGTGCATGAAACGTCCTGCCTGCCTGCCACCACGTTGGCTCATTTCGCGTGGGCTTGGAATTTGTTCACTCTCCCTGGCGGCTACATCCCTGCCACTGCGCAGGAGGCCTTGCTGCAGAGTTTCCTCGGTGCCGAGGAGGCGTCAGCACTTGTGCAGAGTCTTGCCGTTGCACTGGCGACCGGTGCAGCGGCTGCCGTGCCGCCCTCGCCGGGCCCCAGTTCTTCGTCCAGCACGACATCAACGTCCAGCGGCGACAGCAGCAGCACCAGCAGCAGCCCGCCCCTGTCCGTGCCCGATGCGGCATCGCCGTCAGAACAACAACGCCCGCGGCAACAGACTAGCCCAGCTCCGGCTGATGCGGACAACATCCCGACGTCCCACGAGCCGCCAAGGCCACCTCACAGCAACTCCCTCCAAGGACGCAATTTACGCGAGGCTCTTGTCAGCCTTGACGCCTGTGACGTGCGTGATCTTCTCCGTCAGCCTTGCCCCACCTTCCGCACCCCGCCTGCCTTCATCAAGGGGCCTCTTCGGCAAGCCTTGCTCCTTGCATTGTCGCACATCCAAACTGCCTCAGACCCACTCGGCACTGATGCCGCTAGAGCTTGGAAACTCTGGTTGTTGCTGCCTCGCATGCTTTTGCACCGCCCTGCAGCCGCGGCCCGCGTCGCCAAGCCTGAGCTCCGGGCCCGCTTTGACAAGTTTTTTCGTGGGGATTGGCTTGCCCTGCTTCGGGAAGCTGAGGCCTCCAGCACTCCCCGGCCGCACCCGGTTGATGAGCCGGACGTCGACGCCCGTACAATAGCTCACCTCGGCGAACTGTCCGCCGCCCGCCAAGCCTTGCTGGCAAGTCCACTCGCGCCAGACGATGACGCCACACTCGCGGAACTGCGGGACCCCGCTCGGCGGCCCACAGAACCGTACGCCCCACTTGAGCCGTCGGTCCTCGACTGGTCTCCGCCATCACCAGTTGCCCTGGCACCGCACCTGCTGCTCGCCAATCTCCGTCGCTCAAGGCGCGGAGCTGCACCCGGACCCTCCGGCCACACCGCCGAGATCGTTCGCCTCCTCCTCGATGACCCCGCAGCAGCCGAGTCCTTGCACGCTGTCGCGGCGCGCCTTGCGTGTGCGCAGCTGCCCCTCTGTGCGTCACAAGCTCTTGGCCTGGGGCGCCTCATTGCCGTGCGCAAGCCTTCGGGCAGTGTAAGGGGCATCCTTGTTGGTGACTTCCTGCGGCGTCTGGTTGCCCGGACCCTCGCACAGCAGTTTGGTTCGGCCTTCGACCTTGCCACGATATGCCTTGACAACCCGTGCGAGCGCAGAGGCCCTGGCGCACACGTTGCAAGTCCAGTGCGACCAGGACCCTACCCTCACAGTGCTCTCCGTTGACGGCGTCGGCGCTTTCGACCTCATCAGCCGCGCCGCGATGCTC